TACCTCCGCACCTTTGCTCTCTCTGCAATCATTTCAGTAGACACCAAGGCAAAGAAAGCACTGTGTGTCTTATTTCTGCAGTCCCGTGCTCCAAACCATAACAAAGACCATCCTGTGCATGGTCCTAAGAATCTCTCCCCTTTCCTTTTCTTTCTTCCCTAGCTTTTTCACTGCTACTCTTCTCACTGGTACAAATCTTTGAGGAAAGAATCACATGCCAGTCTCAGGAGAAAGCCAGCAAGTGGTTCCAGAATCATAGTTGCTATCTGGATGCTCCTGAAATAATAAAAAACATCTGAAATATGTGCTTAAATAACCCAAAGCACCTACAGGGCCGTGTGTAACCTCAGGCAGGGGTAGGAATGTTCTGGCAGAAAGGAAAGCTTGCACCTTGTCTTGGCTCCCCACCCACACCCTTCCATGGAGCTCCTGCAGGTCAGCCTGAAGCTGTGGGTGGTACAGGCCTGGCTGGAAGGGGGTATCAGTCTAGCAAGATCCAGGAACAAACAACACTCACTTGGGCTGAGATGTTTGGGGCTGTCAATGGGATCTCATGGGACAGTGGTCATCTCTTCATTTACTCATCCATCCATTCAGCAACCATTTAATGTCAGGCTTTTCTTGAGCACCGACAGCCACACACTGTAATGTGGGGGACAGACTGCATGCAAAACAGACAATCACGGAGCATGTGGAACAGCAGAGGAAGGTAGCTTCAAAGAGAAAGCAGGGTAAGGAAATGCAGGACTAAGAGGAGCGGTAGCATAGAATCTGGTAGACAAAGAAGCCCCCACTGAGATATAAGTATATTCATTTTGTGTGTGTGTGTGTGTGTGTGCTGGGGATTGGACCCAGGGCTTCAACATACTAGGCAAGCACTCTACTGCTAAGCTATACACTCAGCCTTTTGTTTTGTTTTGTTTTGTTTTGTTTTGTTTTGTTTTGAGACAGCCTCACTAAGTTGCCCAGGCTGCTATTGATCTTGTGATCCTCCTGCCTGCGCCTCCCAAGTAGCTGAGATCACAGGCGAGTGCTACCACACCGGGCTTGAGCAATGTTCCTGACAGGAGAGGCAGTAAGCCAAATGAGTTTGTGGACAGAGCATTCCTGGCAAAGGGTGCATCAAAGACCCAGGGCAGGAAAACCACTGGAAGGTTTCAAGGAGGACTCAGATGGCTGGAGCTGAGTGAACATCAAGGAAGCTGGTGGAAGATGCAGTTGGACAGATAGGGGCTGTCAGGAGGAGTTGAGGAGAGGAATGCCATGATCTGACTGACATTTCAAGAGAATCAGTCTTGGCCCAGCTACTTGAGAGGCTGGGTGAGAGGAGTGTTTGAGCCCCAGGTGTTCAAGGCCAGCTTGGACAACATAACAAGATGCCCATCTCAAAAAAGAAATTACTTTTCTGGTTAGGAACTGGTCAGTTAAAAGGCCAATGTGATCATCCAATAAGATGAGAAATGTAAACCAGGATGACAGCAGTGGATGAGAGAGAGGTGGTCTGTTTCTGGTGATTTTCTGTCAGTCACTTGGGGAAGGCTGTGGATGCTGCAGGTAGGACAGTGCAAAGCAAGGGTTTGCGTAGAGCAGGTAGAACCAGAGATGTCTGCAGAGATGTCTTGTCAGGTGGACCAGGCAAGCAGTCAGCTGGGCATGTGAGTCTGGAGTCTAAGTTAGAGATCTGCCTGGAGACATAATCTGGGGTTCTCAGAACCTACTCACCATGACACTGATAAGTCCTTATGCTCGTGAGCATAAATAAACAAGTCCATGTCCCCGAGCTCCTGTGTTATTCAAGAATAAGAACCGGACATCTGCAGAGGGATCGCCAAAGGGGTCATCAACCATGTCCCAGACGAAATACATCTCCAGATTACCATTTCCTTTCCTTCACTCCTGAACCCTCTAAGAACCTTGTAGCAACCCAGCCACCCAAGTAGCTGAATACCAGGATGAGCATGCCTTTGAAAATGGACACAGACATACCCAACATTGGAAAAGAATACTTGTTGGAAACTGTAACCTGGTGTTCAGGGGTAGAATTTTACATGTGCAGACCAGATCCTGAATGACTTTCACATTGAGTTACCCTTGTTGTGTTAGGATCCAGCTCTCCCCACTAGCAGCACTGACATCGTTGGTCTCAAACTGAATGGTGTTTACGTGGCTTCTCATCTGAGCTTCCACCTTCCCACTGAGTTGCTCCAACCAAGGCTCCAAATGACCTTCCCCTTGTCATTTCCAGTGGCCTCTTCTTGGTCTTGTCCACATTGATCGTCTACAGCAGTCAGACTTGTTAACCTCCTCGCCTGGGTCAAGTGCACACTATGCTACTACATTGGCTGCCCTCTCTGGCTCTCTGCCTACTGCTCCACCAGCTCTTGTCTTCACTTTTCCCTTTTTCTTGGCCAGTATACGGAAGTCTCACTCTCCACTCAAAGTCCCATTATTATTGCAAAGTAAATGTTCGCGCCTCCCTTCCAACCTGATCTGCATTCCTACAGTAGCATTTGCCTAAAATATCTTCTTACACTTGTCACTACCACATTCTAAAGATGCTCCAACAGCTTCTTACAAAATAACCTGAAGGTTATACTATACTATACTTTATCGTGACATCTATTTACATGTGCACATCCAGTGTACGAGGGGGAAAGGACCTAATTCTAGACCCAAGTTGTCATAGCTTTGATCTAAGCTCTTCCACTTATAGTCTTTTGTTTTGGGTTTTTTGGGTTTTTTTGTTTTTGTTTTTTCTTTTTTTAGACAGAGTGTCACTCTATAGCCCAGGCTGGCTTCAAATTCTCAATCCTCCTGCCTCAGCCTCCTAAGTGCTGGGATTGCAGGCATGTGCCACTACACCCAGTTTGTCATTGAACTCTTGAATGAAAGGAACAGGGACTCAGGAAAGCATATTTATATGATGCAATGTATTGTGTGGATACATGGGATGACAAAGGAAACAA